AACATTTTCCTTTTTTTTATATTTAGCACTAAAAAAATATTTTGTGCTCACCGAGAAATGATGGATGCAGTACTTCAATCGCTTCCTAACGGTTGAGAGATACTTTCAAAACACTCATTAGGTCGAAAATTAAAATCAAGCTCTTAGAGGGTAGTTACATGCATGTTGCCTCTTCTCGGTACCGAACCACCCTCCAAATATCTACAACTGTAGTAACTGAACAAAACCAACTTATGTGCTTTTATCATTCCGTAGCATGTATACTTACATATGTTTATCTTAAATTACCTTAAGGATACATATAATACTAAGTATAAGTGCTACATATGTGCAGTAATGTATTAAGTTGCTATGTTTATGCGCTTCTCTAATGTAATAAGCCATAAAATCTTAACTTTTACTTAAACAAGCTTCTCTGTGTGAATTTCTCTTAGCTTTATACCATCAAATGTAAGTGTTTTGGTGCGTTTTAAGCATCATTAATATTATTTAGCGCGTTATAACTTTGTAGATAACTAATACAGTTTGCAGTAACTATTGTATTAAACTAACCAGTTAACTTGTAAATCGCGAAGTGAAGAAAAACTTTGAGTAAAGTATATTTGGAAAACCAAATAAACTAAGTACCAAAATCTAAGTACCTAGAACCTGTACCATAGTACCTGTACCTAAACAGCACACTTCATCGGTCTTCATTTGGTATACCGCTAATTGCATGGCGAAAAATTTTGAAAAGTTTTGARAAAMAAAAAAAAAAAAAAATAAATAAACCTTCAGTCCAATATGTGTACAATCAGGGCAATACGTCCGCTAGCTACATGTACCTAATATAAGGATTGTCTAACATACGATGAGTTTTATAGCGCATATATCGGTCAATAAACTCTATAATATATCTTATTTCCAATATCAGTGTATCCTTGTGGATAGATTGGATGGATGGTCAATATATAAGGTATTTTAAAGAATTGTGAAAGCATCCACTTCTTTTAATTATCATAACTACTTTAAACCTCATACAAATAATATAAATATATTTGAACTTCAAAATTAATACTAAATCTGAATACACTCGATTCAATTGTTGCCTCATAAGTATTATACAATTTGGTGTTGCACCGTATATTTCATTTAATGTGCTAGATATCTTAGCAAATTGGAGTGAAGCAAGAATATTTGTTGAATAAATCATAATACCGAAAATTTATGAAATCGGGTCCCATCCTCTACATATAAAGACTTCCATTATTCTAGCAGACTTAAAAAAGACAAGAAAAAACTTTAACTTCGGCTGCACCGAAGTTAATATACTCTTCACAGGTGCATTTCTTTTAGTAACTAATAACTATAGTAATCCGATCTGAATAATTTTTTCAGAGATTATATTATTACCTTAAGCAGTAATCCATGTCAAATTTCGTGAAGATACCGCGTCAAATGTTTTCCATACAAAAAATTTATGTCCGATTGTGAGTTGTATGGCAGCTATATGCTATAGTGGGCCGATCTGAACAATTTCTTCCGATATTACATAATTTTTATGAACAATAAACTTTCCAAATTTACCAAGTTTCGTGAAGATATATCGTCAAATATGAGTTTCCCATACTTGATTCCGCTCATTCAGCTTATATGGCAGCTATATGCTATAGTTAACCGATCTGAACAATTTCTTCGCATATTACATTATTATCTTAGAAAATAATCTTTACCAAATTTTGTGAATATATCTTGACAAATTTGAAAGTTTTTCATACAAAAAATTTATTTCCGATCGTTCAGCTTGTATGGCAACTATATGTTATAGTGATCCGATATCGGTACATAGCTAAATCGACACAGCTCAAAACACTGATCATTTATATATATACTTTATAGGGTTTTCGACGCTTCTGGGTGTAACAAACTTCGTGGCAAACTTAATACACCCTGTTCAGGGTATAAATATTTCGATCATTGTGTTGTATGAAAACATGTTCTCGAGTACGCGATATAGTGATTTCCATTTCCACCTTAAATTTAATTAAAAAGCGTTTACTTAGGTCCATATGTGTAATGTTTTAATGAAATTAATTCTTAAACAAGTAAGGAAGGGCTAAGTCGGGAGCAACCGAATATTTTATACTCTTGCAACTTACAAGAATCCAAGCCAGAATACTTTAAAGGGAAAATCCTGATCCGTATGTTCGAAAATCCTGATAGGCCAAGTTTTCGCTCAAAAATATGCTCTTTAATTTTCATTTTGATAACTCACATATTGGCCGATATATGCATTACAAAGTCACCAGGAAGTCCGAACACTTTTGAATTAGGTACATGGTGGCTAAGGGAAGTATTGGTCCGATTAAACCTATTTTTGAGTTACAGACCTTCCATTATAAGAGAATGATAATCCTTAATTTCACTTATATATCTTCTATATTGACCAACATTTTCGATCAAAATTCAGCTATAGGTACCGGGGTCCAAATGTTCGGTACCTATCTTTTATTAGATATAAACAATTTTCGGTCATAAGGTGGCAAACACCAAAGGTATTATTCTTTCAAAGTTTTATCCCGTTATATTAATTTCTTGCTGATTTGTGTACTGAAAACTGAACGAATCAATTGGAATTTAAAATTGTGCTATATGGGAAGTTGGCGTGGTTGCTGTCCGATTTCGTTAATTTCACAATTTACAAAAATGACATAAGAATGTAGGGAGAACGCCACTTACTAAACTTTGTCGAAATCGGTTGCTCGGGTCCCGCTTTTAATAATTTTTAACAGTACCGTTATATGGGGATATGAACCGATCTCATTAATTTTCACACTGTCGTTAGAACTTATTATAAAATTTGCACTCAGCAAACTCTTTTGTTATAGCTTAACTGGTTTAACTTTTTAGAGGGCGAGGTCACAGGACTCCTTTACCCACATGAGGGGTCCTCCATATATTGAAAGTTGGCACAGGCATGCACGGGCCATCCAATCTTTCGGAGAACATATTTCAGTTCTACCGCATTTATTTTTTCGCGAGTTATATTGCTTCGGTCATAGAATGCCACGATTAACTGCCCCTCGCTTGCAGCCGCTGCCTCCCAGAACGTTGAGCGTTTTTCCCGATCGAATCTGACATTTGGCTATAGCGACATCCGTTATGCTGGGTCATTTAGCCAATACCTCTGTTTCGCTTTCAAAGCAGAGTTTTCTATGGACCGCAATTTCTTTCTCGATCCGATTTTGCGTATCTCGAATTCATGGAGGTAAATTGCAGCCACGACTCGTTTTATGCTCGGATTTCTTTTTGGTAAGCAACCTTTCTTCTCTTCCTTCGTCCGATTTGACTTAAAGCTAAGTTTTTTGAGGATTTTGACCGCGGATTTACGTTTCGCTTTTGCCTTCAAGCCTAGCCAAGGTTTCACCGAGTAATGAGTGTTTAATTCCTAATCAACTAATTTTAAAATGAATTTTTGCATTAGTTGTGAATATGCCCCTGGGACAAACCATGTCAAGTGGTCCATGAAAATTTCGCAAAATCACCGATTTTGAAAATTAATAGTTAATTAGGAAGTTGATATGAACGATATGTGACACAAAGCGGAAAATATTTACCTTTAATAATCTGCAAAAACAATTTTTGTTCGTTCATACTCCAAAGATATTGCATTTTTTGTCCCCCTACCGCTCTTAAGACGTATGGCACATCCTTCGCTGCGCAAGTTTTTCCACAAAATATAAATATTAGTTTTTATAAAAAATAGTTTCATTCACTAATATTTTATATTTTGTTGAAAAAAACGTTAGTTTTAAACCATCAACAAATTCTGCATAAGCTCAACTTTAAGCTAGCGTTGGCAATGAGACCTGTGTAAACAATAAAAATAACTTAAATTTTCATATAATTTCACCATGCCAGCATAAATAAGCACTACCTTAAGGCTTTCGCATAACACACACATGCATACATGACCATTCTTTTACCGTTTATTTTGTATTTGTGGTCACTCTTACGTGGTCTTTTGTTTTTATTTATACAACAGACTACTACTAAACGCACTTATGCGCCCACAAGCACACTTCAGCAAATATGGATGTGTGTGTGTGTGAGAGAGGACAACCTTTTCTGAAATAATAGGCGCCCTACACACATTTGTATGCCACTTGCTGTTTGCTTTTGCCTTCATTTGGTATAAGTTAAGCGTATTTTAAGCGTGTGTGCATATACTTACCGACATTAATATATATTTATTTGTTTTCTTATATATTATATATTGCGTATGTGTGTATTTTCTATTAACTTATATATACTTTTCAGGTTGCTTGGATTAAATCCGACTCGAAAGCAATACTCGGTATTCACACCCATATGGTGTCACTTAATCCCAGATTATCAGTGACACACAATGGGCACAACACCTGGAAACTTCACATATCCCACGTGCAGCTCAACGATTCAGGCAGCTACATGTGCCAGGTGAACACAGATCCCATGAAGAGTCTGGTAAGTAAACTCACCTAAACCCTCAACCTTAACTAAATGAAACTGACCGGTAGTGAACCAAGTAAATGGGTAGATAATAAAGGTATTACTTTGTGTGGAATGAAGAACTTAGTTGGTGGCAGGACACTGCAGCATGCAGCAGGACCAACTGGACACAACTAAGTCAGCGGCTGAGACAGCGTGCAGCTACGCTTTGGGAGTTGGGTAACTTAAGCCGTTAAGTCACACATACCTAAGTATGTGTGTGTGTAACAGAGCATATGCTCAGCTGCCGGCTGCTCGCAATCTCCAACACGTTTTTATTAAATATATGTGCATGTGTATATGTGTGCGCATAATTCGAGGTGTGACCTGTAATTTAAAGTGTAAGCCATCTCTGCTCTGTCCACTGAACTTTAACATTTCGTTACACGAACCAGTGTTATTTAAGCTTAGCTGGTAGCTGATAAACAATAGCAACAAGCTCAAAGCAATTCACACACCAACCAACTTTGCTAGCTTTACAGCATTCTTTGCAAGGAAGATACCATGAGAATTCTTTCATTTGTTATACGTAAAGCTTCAATATACGCCACTAAGTAGCTCATGCTCACTTAAAGGATTGCCAGGTGTCCGAATGCTGTTATACTACCCTAAGCCTTGAGGGCTCTCGGTAACGCCATGGCGTATGAGCAACAATATTTGTACTAAGAGAAAAATATAGTTCAAGCATTTCATGTGTCGCTATCGACGAATACTCAACTAATCCATAAATATACATTAATGTGATATGTTTATAATAATCCCTAAGAATCACCAGGCACACACTTGCATGTACAGAAATGGGTATATATGTAAGTGTGATATGTTTGAGCTCAACTATGCAAGTGCGAATGCCGCTTCTGGTCAACCCTATCGCATAATTCTACATTCATGCTTTAATAATCGGTCTCGAAAGCCATGCCTAAGCCATGCTGACTGAAATAATAATACAGTTAGTGATAATATTTTGCGGTCATTTGTACTTATAGATGATCAAAAGGTGTGCACATATCAGCGCACATATGCATTGCTTTCCAGTACATACACATATGTACCAAATAAACATCTACGCATCAATTTGTACTCGCTTACGAACACATGCGCATACACATACGTACATAACGTACATACTACAGTAAATGTCAGGCGTTAAAGCCATACATGAGTTATCTAATAGCTCAAAGCATACGCTTAAGTGTAGATAAAGGGTTGAAGTGTAGAAGAGACACAATGCGATATATAAACTTATACAAACCACATACACTTGCGCCACACATTTGTGCTCTTCACACACATACGCCCTAAAGTATGCTACAATAATAATAACGCAGTCGTTGGCCCCACATTATGGCTACCTCATGAATATTTTTCTCATGCCTGCCGCTCGGCCACTCATCGATGCCTTAGATTATTCCAATCAAATATGTTTGTATGCCTATATGTGCATTTATGTGCACACTTCCGTGCAATTCATGTGGTTATTTGTCTGTGAGTGTACGCAGAATTCAATTATCTATTGATATGGGGGCCAAATGTTTGTTTGCAATGTATTTGAAATGAATTTTTACTATCGCATTTACATAAATTTGCCTTTGCCCAGCTTTTGTGGAGTAATAAAATAATAATTGAAAATTTCATGCGGAAATAAATTATCAACGTATTAGTAATTTGTAATCATAAATCTGCTTGCAAAGAAAACACTAAACAGTTGTGGGAGTGGGAGTGTGAGAATATTATGTAGGCATATCTTTATTGTGAAGCAAGAAAAGTATTACTTTGACCTTTGTCTACAGAAAAGAAAAAGCGTTAACATCGGGTCCTTCGATGCCATAATACCCTTCATAAGCACAAAAGATTTCTTACAATAGCTTGAATTCGATCATTTAGTTCCTACAGCAGTTATAAGCTGTAGTGCTCCGATCTGAATAATTTCTTCACCGATTGCACTATTCCCTTCAGTAATACTCCATAACAAATTCGTCGAAGACATTTCGTTAAAGGAAAAAGGTTTCCATCCAAGCACTAGTTTCCGATCGTTCAACTTGTATGACAGTTATATGCTATTGTGATACCAGCGGTTCCGATAAAAGAGCAGCTTCTTGGGGAGAAATAAACGAGTGCAAATTAGAGGACCGAAATGTCAAAAACTGAGGGGTGTGCGTAAAGAGACATGACTAAAACGACTCGATTCACCCTGCTGCTTTTTTATATAAATATTTTATAGCTTCTCTGTCGTTTCCTTTTAGATGTTACAAACTTCCTGACAAATTTAATATATGTATCTCCTTCAGAGTATAAATATAGCCCAAAATGTCTGCAATGTATATGTGTTACGCAACGAAATTCAGTCACGTCTACAGAACGTCAAAAAGGTGACACAAATATCATAATATTTTGTGTTTATTAGATTGTATTCGTGTTGCTTAGATAAAAAAAAATATATATATATAGAAAAAGGCTAGCCACCTGATTGAAGTTTTAAATTAAAAAATTGTTTAAATTGTATATTTCTAAAATATATTTGAAAATTATCCAACTGTTAATTATTATGCATCTTTACAAAAAATATTTTTTGGCAGTACTGCCACCTGCTTAAAAATTTCAATTACATAATTTTCATAAAGTAAAATACCCTATACAATTTCAGCGCTATTTTAAAAACACATATATCAATAAGCTAAGAATTTAAAAAGTTGTCTGAACAGCGGCGCCACCAGCTTACAGTATTTTATTTAAGAAAACTATGTATAAATAAATTATTACAACGATTTATTTTAACTTTCGTATCACAGTTAAGAACTTGTCTTCAAATTTAACAAAAGTTTTCATCGAATCTGCCACAACATTCAACTTCACTAGGTTTGAGGATAATTAAATTATGACAACTTTATGGTATTTAAAAGGCTTAAAGCTGAATATATTATGAGTTGTATTGTCACTGTTTAAAAAATTTTAAGACACTAGCACATAACTTAATTAATAAGAAAACGTAAAAAAAACTTCTCTCAATTAAAACACAAAAAAAAATTTTTAAATTAAAAATTTTTTTTTTTTTAATTTTTACTTGGGCTTTCCCCAAAGCGAATATACCCTTCACCTGTGCATTTCTTTAAGTAACTATGTATTAAGATTGTAAGGAAGCTATATGCTCTAGTAATCCGATCTGAAAAATTTTTTCGGAGATTATGTTATTACCTTAAGCTGAAATCCCTGTCAATTTTTGTGAAGATACCACGTCAAATGCCAAAGTTTTCCATACAAGAACTTGTTTCGGATCATTCAGTTTCTATGGCAGCTATATGTTATATATATATATTCCGATATCGGCAGTTCCGACAAATGAGCAGCTTTCTGAAGAAAAGTTAATGTTTTCAAAATTTCAAACTGAAGTTCTAATTCATATACATATGTACTGACAGACGTACAAACATATGGGCATGGCTAAATCGACTTAGCTCAACATACTAATCATTTATACAATATATATACTTTATAGGGTCTCCGACGCTTCCATCTGGGTGTTACAAACTTCTTGGCAAACATAATATACCCTATTCAAGGTATACAAATAGAAAGTCCCCATTTCTTTATTCTGATGAATTATTGTAGGAACAGAGTAGCTACCGTTACACAATTTTTAATTTAATAGCATTGTAGATAACAAATAATTTTTTAAATAAATACAATTCAAGATAAAGAACTTTTTGCAGTAACAGTGTCAAACTGAAAAGATAAAGAAAGACCTTTAATTCAATTCAAGTTCAAAGCTTTCCCACTTTTTTAAATTTCTTTATTCTGCGAAATCAATAAAGCGCAATGATTCAAAAGAGGGATGTCGTAGTCAGACATTTTAATTCTTTATAGTTGTTGTATCTCATATGTTACCTTTCTGTAAGAAGGAGGGATCTTCAAAGGATACCTATGCGCGATACGCCATGCCCTTAACTCCTTTCGTCGCAAGGACAAGCTTTAGCCGATTGGCTCTACATTCATGCCATTCTCTGTGCTGCGTTGTCACTCCTTCGTTCTTAGCTCTATTAAAGCTGCTGTGGTCTACTGTTCCATTCTGTTCCAGACATGTTCAAATCTGATAATGTGTTTTCTGGCGTGAGTGGATCTTCTATGAGACCTCTAGCACCGCGAGAAAAATACGTCATATTTTTCCTTATGGTCGAGAAGATGTGTTCGTTTTCGAATATCTCACCGGGTTCAAATGAAAATTGCTAGTGAAGAATTTGCTATTTGTGGTGTGTGAGTTACGATGTCGCACATTCGCATAAATTTTCTCCACTTAACCCAGAGGCGACAGGCTATAATCAAATTGGAAGATTAATATCTAATTTTTGACTGTCTTTGAAAGTCATATTACATAGTCATCTGTCTTCTCTGGAGAGCCCATAGTTCGGCTTCTCACTTTTTAGTAGCGCTTTTTACGTAATTCACTATTCCCACTAAATTTAGATTAATTCGTTTTCGACTAGGGTTCTATTGAAATGCAATGAAAGAAGATTTATTTTCTTTGGACTTCTGGGCGAACAACTTCTTTATTTTACCAAGATTTGACGTTATAAAATATCTTGTTCTTTATTGAATATATCTTTCTCCAAATTGCTTATTATATTTACACTAACTTTCCTTAAGTTTGTACAAGCCTTATAATTCGATTTGGCGTGTACAAACGATGTTAACTATTTCATAGGTTCTTTAGTTCAAGCTTGCTTTACTTAAAACAAAGGACCCGAGGAAGGATTACTTATGAGTTCTAAGTACTTCGCGAACAAATTATTATTTGAAAATCCTGTGTTTTAAATATATTCATGAATGACGGTCCTCCGTATATGGCAATAGCTTAGCTTTTCTCTAATTGTAGTATTCCAAGAAATGGACTAACCTACAAACTGTTTAAGTGAAGAGTTTCCCTAGGAAAAATACTTCGTGAGACTTATCAATGCTTATCAAAAGATGGTTATTTTTAGGAAACTTAAGAAAGTATGCTAACGATAATTTGGATTACACCCCAATAAAATCGGATACATACGCACATTGACGGCATACAAAGAAAAATGCATTATGACACGCAAATTGAGCTCTAGTGGCTATTCTATGTGAAATTATCAATTTGAAAATTTTTAGAAAAACCTGCTAGTAACTTAAATCCAAATTAACTTTAACATTAAAGTGATTAATAGTATTTGTCGTATGACTATTTCCTATTTTATATTTACATAAAATTATTCATATACCTTTCATGCTCATTCTTCAACTGCACCAACCATGTAATGCTTAGTATACTTACGTGTCTATGTGTATGTGTTTTTATTCCACATTCGTTCACATTTTGCACCAATCCTTGCACTTGCCACCATCATCACCACCTGCAGTCTGGCTATTTGGATGTTGTAGTGCCGCCGGATATTCTAAATCATCCGGAACAAAACCTCGAAGAGGGTATCTGCAATGAAGGTGGCACAATCGTGCTCATCTGTAGTGCTACAGGCGTCCCTGAACCGACTGTGCAATGGCGACGTGAGGGCGCTAAGGATATAGTTCTACGAACGGAGACAAGGGAAAAACAAGGTAAGACTATGCATGAGTATAAAAATTTAAGGAAATATTTAAAAAAAAAAACATTTTTGTACGGTTGCTAAAATTTGTATGTATTTTAACATAGTATAAAAAAATCATAAATAAATAATTATGTACTCTGAGTAGTTCTTTTAACTACTGGAATTAAGAAAATTGCGTATCCTTTAAGGTCACTGTAAAAGTCCAGATGCAATTCACAACTTTCTATTCGACATTTTTGGTGATTTGCATACTTAGAACATTTTGACATGCGTTGTTTGCAGTAACTTAAAATACTCTTCTAGACCAGAAAAGGAATTAATTGCACATTTTTGAGCGATTATATTTTAAAACTCTCTTTATAGTCCTGACTTGGTATAGAATAAACGTTTATTTGACATCTGAAAAGGCGGTTAATGCATTCAAAAGTCATGTTTTGGAGATACCTCAAAAGTGCTTAGACAATTCGTTCACACGCTTGCAAAAGTATGTATATTGATCTTAATGGAGAATATTAAAAAATGCTTTTGCTCCCGTGTCCCGAAATATAAAAGTCGACCTACCTTCCTACCATAAAATCGCTAATCTTGAATTAAAGAAACAATAAGGAGTTAAACTAAAAGGTAATTGCTGTTATAGCGCCAGAAAATTTCCCTTAAATAATTTAAACGAATATTAGACTTAGAGAAATAGCAGGGTGACAAATTTGTAAAATAAACGCCACCTTAAAGTACTCGAGCGCGATAGATTTTCACGAAAATGCTATAATCTGACAGTTTCCATGGGGCGATAAAGGTCGACATAAGGTCAAGCCTACTGATCACCATAGCGTGGTTGTTGTTAGTAGACGCTCGACACTTTTATTTGTTTGTGGTGTTTTAAATTTTTTCCGCTTACAGCGAGAAGCGTACGAGGACTTCTAATGTCGGAAAATCTTTTTTTGAAGACTATACTATCATAAAAGCAGTAAAAAATTATAAAGTTTTATATTTTTTCTCGGTTACAGAAATGCAAAATGACCGGAAAGTTCAAGGAGTTCAAGAAGTGGAAACCAACTTCGACGATGACTCGAATGACGGAAATTGTCATGTTTTTTTTTTTATATTTATATCTATTATCATATTAAAAAATTATTCAATTTTCTATACATATATATGTATGTATACACTATTTTTATTACATCTTGTAACAAAAACAAGAACCAAACAGAATGCTTCCACTTTTAAATCGTCAGATTAACGATATTCCTGTATATAATTGTCAGATCATCCTTTCGGAAGACTCTGACATCAAGTTCATCCCCCTGCATAAAAATCTGACGAAGCTTATTTAGCCTCAACGCTGAAGATGACTTTTCGATGAAACGACGATTCTGGTGGTCAAACAGCTTATGTTGAGGACACTGACACCGACACATTTTTAAAATTTCGACTCGTTGTCGTTCTCGTTGCCACTCAAATAGTCTGAAACATCAGATCATCACTATTAACGAAACTTGTATATTTTATTTTTTAAATAAAACAAAAATGGTTTAGGAAATCAATGAAATTCTTTATTTCGACTCGTTGTCGGATCGTATATGATACCATGATAAAATGGCTAATCTTACTAAAGAGAAATGTCAAAATAGTGGGGAAAAATATTTCGTTTGCTGTCCATTTTTATCAAAAGATTATTCAACAGCTTTCTGAAAAACTTACAGTATATGTAAGGCAAGCGATCAAGGAGTGTTTCTTCAGGTATCTTGTGAAGCTAGCAATAGTAATACAAAGTACTTAAAAGGTTAGAATGTCTGATATTTTCAAAAAATATTTGTTGGCTTAAACTACACTTTGTGTATTTTTACAGCTGCGCAAAAAGCTTAAGCCAAAGCTAAATACTAGAATAACCACACGTTAAAACTCTCGCCCAGAATATATCGTCAAATTAAGACCTTTTATTGCTCTAGAGCTCCTTTATATATAATCTTAAACATTATCTCAGTTCTCTTACATGATTAGATTTATTTACTAAAAGATAGAACTTCATCGGCTCTCTTACGATCAAATAAGTTGCGAACAGTTATGGTAGTATGTAGATCGTTTTTGATTAACTTTAATGATGACTTTAGTGATAACTAAAAATGCTAAGAAAATACTATAGAAAGAAAACGGTTTATCCTTGCATAATCCTTAAAGTTCTTAAAGACCCTTACTGCAAATTTGTACAATTATGGAATACATGTCATTATAAACCAAATTTACCCTACGAAAATCACTAATTCCATAGTTAAAACAACAATCCAGTAAATCCCTGACACCACTTTAAGGTCCTGAAATGTTTGCTCTCACCACCCAAACACAAATTGCTACCGTGTATTCCCCTGAATTTTTTGTATGCTGCGATTAAATGGTAAGTAAAACGATACTCATTTTCCCTTTGCCGCCCTAATTGAGCGCGAGAGTGCAACTTATGCGGGGCAAAGGTGGGGCAACAATCCACTCAAACACTTCAACTTTGCCTGAGTGTGCTTAGCCTGCTTTGAAAAGGTTGGATGTACTCACACACACACATAAGACACACATACACTTAAACATTAATGTGTTGAGGCCAGCGATTAGGTGTTGAGAACGTTCATTGTGTACTCATACCCCGGATGACATGTTGGTGTTGTGTTGTTATTTTTTTTTTGTATGTTACGAATTGCGGTGTATGTCTTTTGTGCACAAACGCAAGTGTTTGGCATGCCACATAATGACTGTTTAGCAAAGTCGGTGTCTCCACACTAATGGCTGCTATGAACACTACTCCTTTTTTTCGTCCTTTTTGCCTTATTATTTGTATACTATTCTTTTTTTCTATGAATTATATGAAGTTCAAGGGAATGGAAGAAACTTGTGAGCTTGTGCAGTCTTTTAAAGCATATTTGAATATTTGTTTTTGTACAATTACAGCATTTATTACAATATAACATATAGTGAAGAAGTCACATTATATTACTATCATACGTACGCGAGCAAAGAAATATTCAATTACGCATAACGGGTGGTCCATATAGTGGTTGACAATGACTGTCAGTCAGTGATGTTAAGTCAGCATCCTATCTGAATTTTCGACAAAGTCAAAGGCGACATAGCCAGCTTCCTGAAAAAGACTACAAATAGAGGCTACGTACTCGATCTTCGCCGACTCAAAGTACACATTCAATAAAAGTAGTTATATAGCCCGCTTAGTGAGACTCTAATCGGCGGTTTGGCTCGCTGTCAAGTACAACACTTCAAGATATTACACTTTCAAACAAAGTCCTGGTCATATGACCTTTTTTAAATCATCTATCAAAGTATCATTTTGATGTTTGAACCTTGGAACATCACAAAACTGGCAAATATTTGCTTTAGTTTATATGCTAAACATTTTTCTCTCGGGCGCTGATTATCCAGACCCCATAAAATTAACAAGGAAGGAGAGCTCGAAGCTAATATTGAAGAGGTGACCGCAACATAAAGAGGATAACTGATATTGCCCATATCATCTATAGTTTCCTACCTATGTATATCTAGCGGTTCTTCCGTTAATTGTTATGTCTATCACGACAAAAGATCTGCTTCTTCTATTTTTATAAGTCTCGAAAAACATAGAGCTTGCTTCATCATCCTAAAAGCACTTAATACTTCCTTCTGTTAATTGAATGACTGAATCGATTATACCGAACATAATCAAGCGCATTTAAATACAGTTTATTTCAAAATTAACATTCTGCACGCCTGTTTTGTTTTTATACCCTGAACAGGGTATATTCAGTTTGTCAAGATGTTTGTAACAGCCAGAAGGAAGCGTCGGAGACCCTATAAAGCATATACTATACATATGTAAATGTGTAAATGATCAGTATGTTGTGCTGAGTCCATTTAGCCATGTCCGTTTGTCTGTCTGTCCGTCTGTATATATATAGGAAATAGTCCCTCAGTTCTTAAGATATCGTTTTGAAATTTAGCAAATGTCGTTTTCTTTTTAAGAAGCTGCTCATACAAACTGAACGATCGGAAACAAGTTCTTGTATGGAAAACTTTCACATTTGGCAAGATATATTCACAAAATTTGATATAGATTATTTTCTGTAACAACAATGTAATCTAAGAAGAAATTGTTCATATCGGTTAACTATAGTATATAGCATCCATACAAACTGAATGATCGGAATCAAATGCTTGCATGGTAACCTTCCTCATTTGATGATATATCTTGACGAAATTTGGTATGAGTTATTGTTCATAGAAATAATGTAATATCGGAAGAAATTATTCAGATCGGCTCAATATAGCATATACTGCCATAAAAACAGAACGATCGGAATCAGGGCTTGTATGGAAAACTTTCGCATTTGACGTGGTATCTTCACGAAATTTGGCATAGATTACTGCTTAAGGACAGAATGGATTACTATAGCATATAGCTTTCATACAAACTGAACACATAGTTAATAGCAGAAATGCACCTGTGAAGGTTATCGTTTTTCCGTAAGAACACGATGCATGCCATCGACATTTTTCCTGGAATATCATAAAGGTTCCACAATATACGAAAAATGCATCAAATTAAGGCCGCTTCGTCTCATCTATCTGTTGACTCAGTTTGAAGTCAGCTAATTTCAACGAATGCAGTTAAGCCGTAATAAGCTCATTGTATCGCTTACGAAATGCCAATTTAGCGCGACTCAATTAATTTAACAGAACGCTTCCTTTTTTAGAAGTAATCATTCAATTTTGGTATCTTTTCATCAATCGGCGCATTGTAGCGGATTTTCTGTCGAACGGTGCCGAAAATAATCGCAGAAAAATAACTTGACCGTTGTTTTCATCTTGGCTGTTAGTGTAAATTTTCAAAATCCTTTGTCACTTTTGAGATTCGACTCACATTGCTAATGTACGAATACCACTGATAAATACTTCAAGCGATATATAAAATCACTGGAAGAGGCTGAAAACTTACAGAGCCTTCACGAGAAGAATTGTAGGTCAATACTTTCAAAAGAGCATTATCGATGTGTCTACTGTTCATTTTATATCTGCCGACACTAAACTTTTAGAGCTGTTGGTACAAACTGATCTACTAAAATATGAGAATATAATACCTTTCGGTGTGTGTGACCGTATACTTTACGCAGGTCGAATATGATACCGTGAAATCAATCATGAACACAGTGGCTTCAAATTTTATGACTACACAATGCTAATGGTGTAAAAGGATCTGACTTGAATGCCTATTAAATGAATGTCAAAAAAGACTTTCAAACTCTTTTCCTCCAGTGGGTAAATATTATTCACTGGAGTCATACAACAGTCTATTTAGAGATAAATAAATATCATTCAAGTCTATGATACATTGTAGTATTGAAAAGACCTTGTAGGAAAGGTCCCATTTTACGATTTACCCGAAAGCCCAGTGAGCCTGTCAAAAGAATGGAAGTTCATTCCAATAGTAGTGCGCATTCCTTCGAATAAACCAATGACATATCAAAAGTTAAATTGATTAGTTTCTAAAAAATAACCACCGTGCTGATCACCCTGTTTAGACATACATACACAACCACAGATTGTCAAGTTAGCGTAATGTGATAGACATAATCGAAAAGTTAATTAATTAGTTCACCACACATACTTTGTTCACCCTTTAATGAGTCACTTTTTTCAATTTATTAACCCTTTTTCATTACACTGACTCCCTTCAATGCTTGGCATTGTAGATGGAGCACCGCACTTGAACCACATATCAGAATGTCTCCGTTGTGCATGCTGTAATTTTGTTTCTGGCATCCATTCTAAACAAATAAAAGTATACTAAACATTCTTTATTTACCAATTGTACGATTTTTCTCATTGCAGTGGTCAAAACGGTAGAGGGTGAGCGACTCGTGCTGACTAATGTGCATCGCACCGATATGGGCGGTTATTTGTGTATTGCCTCGAATGGTGTACCGCCGTCCGTAAGTAAGCGCTTCGACGTGCATATCAATTGTAAGTACCAAAATCCCAGAAAAAAACAATTGTAATTACATTTGTACAGTTATATTGTAAGTGAAATGCATTTATCCTAGTTTATGTACACATGCCAATTTGTCTTCGTGCTTATTTTTAGTTGAAATTAAGTTTCGTTTTCAACTAAATCTGCCACTTGAAGGCCACCTCGCAACTTTTTTTCTGTGCCCAATCGGAAGCCAAAGAAAATAGATGATAAACAAAATCTAAGAACGAAAGGGAATCGTAAAACTTAGAAAACATCATTAAAAATGGCTTAAGGGTGAAATGATATTGGCAGTGAAGCCATGACCCATATACTATTTAAGCAATTTTCGTTAATTGTATAGACAAGAGTTCAAGGCGCCAAGCTGTTTACATCATATGTGTCTACATATGTACATATGTATGTAAGTTAGGCTAAGTTAAAATGGTTGCGGACTAAAAGTCATGTTTTGATTTCTTAAGCATGAAGTTCCATTATATAATGCTTAGAAAAACTACACGAACCCATATAAGTTCATGTTTTCACAATTCCTCGAAGAACTAAAGATTTCACATTCTTCTTCTTTACTGGCGTAGACGCCGCTAACGCGATTGTAGCCGTTGTTAACAACAACGCATCAGTCGTTTCTTCCTTTCGCTACGTGGCGCCAATTGGAGATTCCAAGCGAAGCCAGGTCGTTCTGCAACTGGTCTTTCCAATTGAGTGGAGGTCTTCCTCTTTCTCTGCTTCATCCAGCGGGTATTGTGTCGAATACTTTCAGAATTCTAGTGTTTTCGTCCATTTGAACAACATGACGTAGCCAGCGTAGCCGCTGTCTTTTAATTCGCTGAACTATGTTAATGTCGTGGTATATCTCATACAGCTCATCGTTCCATCGATTGTGATATTCCCATAGTCAACGCGCAAAAGACCATAAATCTTTTTCACAACCTTACTCTCGAAAACTCGCAACGTCGACTCATCAGATGTTGTCATCGTTCATGCCTCTGCACCATGTAGAAGAACGGGAATAATGAGTGATTTATACAATTTGGTCGTTGTTCGTCGAGAGAGGACTTTGCTTCTCAATTGTCTACTCAGTCCGMARTAGCACCTATTGGCAAGAGTTATTCTGCGTTTAATTTCCAGGCTGACATTGTTGGTGGTGTTGATACTGGCTCAAAGATTGACGAAATTATGTCCGACTTCAAAGTTATGACCGTCAACAGTGACATGGGAGCCAAGTCGCGCGTTCGACGACTGCTTGTTTGCTGACAGGAGATATTTCGTTTTGCCCTCGTTCACCACCAGACGAACTAACTGTGCGGTTGTTAAGGTCAAAGATACTAATATCGTCAGCACATGCCAGCAGCTGTACTCGTACACTTTTATAGAAGATCGCACCTGCTCGATTAAGTTCTGCAGCTCAAATTATTTTCTCCAGCAGCAGATTGAAGAAGTCGCCCGAAAGGGAGTCGTCTTGTCTGAAACCTCGTTTGGTATCGAACGGCTCGGAGAGGTCCTTCCCGATCCTGACGGAGCTTTTGTATTAGTATTGCGGGGATACCAAAATTGTGCAGTACAAACGATACAATTAAGTTTTGAATATAACATCATTATTTTTCGACTAAGTTGAGTCGTATGTACGTCCGATGTGGACTTCTAAAACTGGAAGAAAGTCTGGTTTATTGCTAAAGCCCAATGATTTCAAACAACCCTTCAAGAAGTAGTCTAATGGTGTTAAATCGCAACTTCTTGGAGGTTATTCAATGTCAATTGAACGTGCTGCGTAGCACCTAGCACCCGTCTTGTTGAAACCAGATATTGCCAAGATCAACTTCTTCAACCTACTTCCAGAAGGAGTTGGTTATCATCGATATGTACCGCTCCATCATTGACAGTAACGGTGACACCAGTTTCATTTCGAAAGAAAAAGAAAAACCAGACCAGAATCGACAGTTTTGTTAATTTACGCATCACTCAGCTGAAAGTAAGCCTCAAAAATCAAATTCAAAAAATTCACAATGTTAACGGTAATCCAATGGCTTAAGTTCTTGAGTAAGAACAATTTTATATGGTTACAAGCCCAGATTCTTTGTCAAACTCCGCCAGGTTGTCGTTTGAGACAGTCTCAATTCTTGAAATCTTCCTGGAAATAACAAAAGGCGGTCTTCATCAACACTTGCCTGATAGCAATTTTCTGATTACTTCGAGCGGTTCTTTGTCATATTGACACTTAACTATATGTAAAGAAAATATACGCTAAAAATGTTCAACAATTCGACGAATAGCGAACACAGTTGGACGATTTTACGATTATTTTGAAAACTAAATTGAATAATTTGTAAACGTTGTTCTTGCGCATATTTTTTCATGATGATTTTTCTTATCTATGACATGCAAAAATCGTTATCAAGAAGAGATTTGAACTGAATTTAATATCAACAGTTCTAGTCCGATATTGAAAACATATAAATCATATGGAATTTAACGAAAGTAGGCGTGGTTTTAGTATAGGTTTCGAACTTTATTGAAATTGGTCGAGTAGAGAGATATTTGATTTTATCTAAAAGCAGTACCACGCCCTTTGTCTAATTTTGAGACCGTCTAAATAAGCTAATAAAGCTGATAAAACTAACTCTACAGAAAACTGTTTTGAGAAAAGTATTTGAAATATTTATTCAAAACATTAATATCTTACTTTTTACGCTAGCAAAGTATGCAAAATCAGAAAACAGAACCAATTTCGAATTTTCGCACTAAATCTGCTCCTTAAAATATGTTATAAGCTGGAATTTTTTTATTTTAAAGCTAAAAGTCTCAACGTATAAAGATTATGTAGGTAGTGGTTCTTTAATTCAAATGAAATACCTAACGTTGGTTTTCGATACTTGAATAAATTGCTATAACTGAAATTATGTGGTTTGATATATTAAACATATTTTCTTTGATTCTCTTCCACATTAAATGCATTTTTTTTTTTTTTAGACCGAACGCTTTCAAAAAAGTGTTACTTCAAAAGGTAGTCCTTAAAATAAATATATACATAAAAATTAGCACAATTCAACTTTTAATATAATTTGTACATAGCCACACACACATACACCCACCTGTCAAGCAATCACTTGACGACAAAGCACGAGTGTACAATTTGTTTGAAATTGTTGCGATGCTTAAAGTCAGCTTTAACTCGGGCATTCATAAAATTAACAAAACAACTTTGCGGTTTTGTCTATGGTTGCACACCCACATACAGGCATAGGGGTATTAGAGTTTTTTTTTTTTATATTTAACAGAAGCCCTCAAATATCTACACAAATACTCGTTGGTATGTATGTATGCACATACCGACCACATCAACCATTTATATGTTGGCCTCAAAGTTTTTTTTTTTTTTTACTTTATTCCCTCCCAGCGGTTGGGATAAAGCACATTTCTGCTATTTTTTTCAACACAGCAGCCAACGGGTAATGACCTCGACCAAGAAATAAATCTAGAAATGTTTTCAAAAATAGTTTAGTACGCAAATTCGAAGGGGTTTTCTGCGTATGTGTGTACGCAAGTACGCAGATATATAATTACATATATGCAGTATATATATGCATATGTTGTAGTCTGAATTTCGTTAAACATTTTCGTTTTACTTTCACAAAAGTTTATATTTGATTGCTGTCCAGCTGGCCAAGCCAAAGAAGGTGGTTGTGTTATGTGGATATGTGGCCTGGGTGAGGAGACTCTTTCTGTTAACAATTTGGTGTGAATTCTAAACTTCGATGACTATGTAGAAAATGAAGTTTATTCATTTCACAGTAGGTCCCTCCTAATGCAAAAGGCAAATCTACATTTGTGATATAATTAAATACATATAACGAACATATGAAAAAGTTTTTCATACAAGGACTATATTTATCTTATATCCTATAGTGATCTGATACTGACGATTTCTACAAATAACACCGACTCTGTGGGAACAAATAGCATAGTCACAATTTTAATCTCATATTTCGAAAAATGGGTATAAAGATTTCAACGAAAATTCAGTAAAGTCAAAACTTTCTCATCCCGCTCACAAAAAGATATTGTTTTCAATACTGGCAAAGACTTTAACCCTACTCTCTGAGAATTCAAGGTGTTCTTTAGGTACATAGCGAGGTCTTTTTAGAAAACTCATATGCGGTATTGATGTTAAAATATGGAGTTCTTCCTCTTGCTAGTTTGTGGAAAATTTCCGAACTAAGTCCCAAATTCTTAACTGTCACTCTCAATTACTCTCCCCTCAATGTTTGTCTTGAATCAGTGGAAATCTCAGGAGCTCACCTTTAAACTCCACCCAATACTTTCCAGATACGTTTATCTTGCGAGGAAGTTGCGCTGTAAGAGTGCATCCAAAGCTGAATTTGAAAACTTTCTTACAAACCTTTAACTCATTTGTGATATATGGATGCCAAGTGATGCCAATCTAACACAATTCAAGGGTATTCACTGCCTCATCGTTACTGAGCAGATTTCAATTCAATTCTTTTTATATTTTTTTAAAAAAGACATGCAGTTTCTTTCTACAGTTCCTACATCCAGTTCGATCCATACTTTTTTGTTTTTCTTTTTTTTAAGAAAAAAATAAGAAACCTCAAATTAAATGGTAACTGAATCCAAAGCCGGAATGGAAGCCAGTTTGCCCGCATAGACTTCATACATAACCGATATACAAACCACCCAAAACGTTTTTTCCTGTATAAAGTGGAAGCTCTCGAATATATTCAGGTTACACGTCGTCCCAAAGGCGGCAATTTTGCTTGTTTACATACCCATTGAGCCAGAAGTGAGCATCATTGCTAAACAAAACTTGGTTCGAAAGTATCGTATATTCTTGAAGCTTTGCAAGAGAGTATAAAGCGAAGCGATGTCTCTTGGGAAGGTCGTGTGGCTTCAGTTATTGTACAAACAGTATTTTTTACGCTTTTAATTTAAGATCTTGGAGTAAAATGCTTGAAGCCGTTCAATACGTCAGTCCGTG